AAACAACAAGAAAAGGGGGGGCAATGATAAAAGTGTGGGTTGGAAAAAAAAAAAAAAAAGTAAAAAAAAAAAAAAAGGGAAAGAAAAAAAAAAAAAAAAAAAAAAAAAAAAAAAAAAAAAAAAAAAAAAAAAAAAAAAAAAAAAAAAAACGCGTCAGCACTTGTGAAATTACTGCGGAGAAGCAGTATAAGTTGGTATAAGTAAACGCAGTCGTGATATTACCTTCTGGTTCGCCTTTGATTGCTTTAATCAATCTCACGATTGTTTTCGCCGGTCCAACTGTCAATCCATATCGTTCAAATTTTTCTTGGCTTAAATCGAGAAAAACACGACCGGCGACTTTGTTTCTTTTGATTACATTAATGTCGTCGTCGTCAAGAAACAGTTCCTCCTTTTTAGTCTCGAGAAAGGTGATAACATCTTTAGGGCTCCATTTGCTGACTTCGTCAACCGACGGAGTTAACATGTTTTCGTTTTTAAATCAAAGAAAAATTTTTTTGAGGGAACGGTTATAGAAACAACCAGGGAGCTACACGATCAAATTCCGGATATTATGAAAATTAATTTTTCGGAGTACGTATTAGACCATCTGATATTCGCTGATAATCGTTGAAAAGCTAGACGTATAACAAATCAAAGGATGACTGTTTAGGCCTGATTGCTTAGTATGTTATTAATAACCGTACCCTGAAATGTACAGATCTAGTACTAGACGATCCTTGCCCCTGTCGTACAGCGTAAAAATTATCCATACCACCCGCAGTCGTACCATAGCGGCAATTATTTGTGTGTGGTACCACGTAATGATACTAGAAAAAAAAGATTACCGTAGAGCGCTGACTAAAGTACCCCGGGTATTTTACATTTCACTTTTTTTTGAGGGGTACTTTACTCGGTGGGTACTTTGGTACACCCAAGATAATACTTTGACAACCCCCTAGTGTTTATGTAACACACTCTATATAAATAAAGACAATGCGATGCATACGCGGATTCACATTCTTTTTCTTGATACATGCTATGGTTCGCGCCAACAAGCCTGCCAAACGTTTTCGTATCACTAAACAAGTTCGCAGAAATCTCTCATCATATGAATAAAATCGTATAAACATTTAGCAACGAAGCGTTTCGTTCAAGTTATTGTAATGACTTGTAAAGTTTGCCTCTACACAATATGTTTAAAATATACGTCACAGTATACTATTCGTATAATATACCTATCACGTGATAACGTAATATTTGATTTGCATAATACCCGGGTCTTTTACAATTTTTTCGGCCTAAACTGCTGCAGGGTACTATACATAGGGGGTATTTTAGTCAGCGCTCTACGGTAATTGAGTTTTCGAGGTCTTTATTAGGCACACAAAGATTAATTGATTATTTGCGTTTTCCGTATATAACCAAATGGTATATTTCTTGCAGAAGCCGATTCATAAAATTGATTGTATTTATATCCTTGTTGTAAGTTCGCAAGAACAAATCGAAAAACAGTTCGACGTTGTACTCAGGGTAAATTTGTAAATCCGAAGCAGTATTTTCAATTCTATAATAAGGTCAAATACACTCATACCCCGTTTATATCCCCCCTGCCCAAAAGTGGGGATATGCGGGGTAAGAATGATCTCGTAGTCACATGACAAGAATTATAATAATAATGTAATGCAAAGAAAAAGAAAGAGGTTATTCAAATATATATGTACAATGTTATTATCAAAAATATAAATCCAGTTGCTTTGTTTTAATTTGTCAATGTGTTCTTTTTCATTAAGTTGTTCAGAAAAGAATATACTGCTTGAATATACCAAACGCTTTTTTACTTTCTTCATAAGTAATAATGGGCCTTTCCTCCTCTTCTTTATCTTCATCACACATTCTAATATCAAAGAATCAAATTTCATGTAAGCAACTATCATGAGGGACTTTTATTCACAACATTCCATGTAAATGTCAAACAAATAACACGTAAATAATGCGAAAATAACACAAAAATAACTATTACACTGCCTAACGTCCATTACAAATAACACGTAAATAACTGACTGCCTAACGTCCATTACAAATAACACATAAATAACTGCATGCAGTCTTTTTAGCAATTGGTGTAACTTGGGGGATATAAACGGTTCGGATTATTATATTCAGTTATAAGAATTTTGAGGATAGGGATATACGGGAAGATGATTGGCATTAATGAGGTTTGGGTGGTCCATTTCACGTGTCAGGGATATTACTACTAAGCCTCATGGCAATCTGACGATCAGAAGCTGGCAGGCCTTAATGTTGTTCACTTTTGGCATGATCGTACCTTTGATAATGTTGATATGATTGCTCGTTGTCTAGGTACCAATGGCATAGTTAGTGATATTAAGCCTGAAAGAATAGTTCGTCCTAGCAAGCATTCGTAATTTCTTTCATACTAGTGCTACGTAAATAGTAATAGCTGTGAATGGTATTGGTAAATAGTAGATTCTATAATTAATGTACTGTAAAGCGAACTCATTGATTCAAATGCTTTCGAAATTAGGCTGTTTAGTTATAAAGGTAATAGTAACTGATAAAATAAGCACTTAACTCAGTATGACGGACGTGTATTAGAAATCAAGAAAAGTGGAAATATGGAGGCTTCTTAATAGAGTACCAGTATTTGGTATCCAAAGTTGCTGGTACGTAATATCACAATTATTACTGTATCTCTTTGAGTGAATCGATTCCTCCGTCGCCAGTAAATTCAGTCCGATCAGTTAAAAAATTGTTTTGCGGTACGCGATATGGTTGTACGTGAACGGAACCAATTTTTCATCATTATTCAGATTTTACACGTATGTGCAAATAAAAATGTTAAAATGATTCCAATAAGCCGTGCGGCTCCGCTGTTCTGTTAAACTCATTATTCTATGATTCCGGATAGATGTTTTTATTCGGATCATGCCAATTATATATCAACAATCTGATGCTTATAAATTAATGCTCGATAATAATAACCAAAAAAAAAAAAAAAGGTGATTACAGAATGAATATACCACATCTAATCTATTATAAAATGTACAACTATTATTTCAATCATTATGTTGTTGTAAGCCATTTCTGATAGCTAGGACAGAATCCTAGAAAAGAATCGTATGATCAGTTACATATACGTATACATACTGTCAACTGTAACTTGTCTAATCTTACCACAATTACTGCATCAACTCCAAGTTTCTTCTGAAATTTAGCACATTCAACGTCATTGTTCCTAGCTCCATAAGTAAATACTAAAAGTCCCGTCTCTTTAGTAGTTTTTATTAATTGAGGAGCTTCCAAAACAGGGTCGGAGCGTACCACAATACCCAACAAATCTGCCGATTTTGCGAATCTAATAGCACGTTGAATGGATTGGCAACGTGCATCTGCCATATTCACTGTTCCGATGTTAGATAGAAAGAATACGGGATAGTTGGGTTGTTTGACTGCCAGGATTTGACATATTTCGGGGTGAAAGGAGGAGAAGAGGATATTCCGATTTTGGGCAGTATGATCGTAGACTACATTGAGAATGGCATCAACGAAAACGTTGAGTTCTGTATTGTATATTGGGAGACCCGAAGACTCGGCTTCATCAATCATTGGATATTTTACTTCTATATTGAAACCAATGTGGAGTGGCACTTTCTGCATTGTGATTCATAGCACAGAACACGGAGATATTAATATTTGGTTTCGTAAATAAACAGCAAGCATCAAGACAAATTCAATACCTTGAACGTTTCGTCTAAAGTTGTGAATGGTGCTTGAATAGTGTTGGCCCCGTTGCCTTTTATTTCCATGTTATGCGCTGATTTCAGACCGTTTTTGACTGTCATCACTCCGAGACTATTAGAGCGTCGAAGTTTCTTGGTTATATGAGTGGTATCTTTATTATTGTTGGTACCGGTTTTCTCATTTGTGGCTTTGTCCTCAGAAGGAGTGATTGTAATTGCATCGTCATCAGTTCCATTACCATTAGCAGTTTGGGAAACACTATCATTTTTAAGACTTAAAAATTGCCCGAGCGTAATTGCATGAATGGGTATATCATAACCTGTCTCGGTTATCGTCCAATCATGGTAAATAACCGGAACGCGGTCCTTTGTAAGTTGTACGTCTAAGAATTAAATAAACAATAAATATTCAAGTCTACATCGGACTGTAAGCAAACAATTTAATGCAAAGTGAAATGTATCCTTACCGAATTCGACGTACTCTGCTCCCAAGGACGCCGCAGTGACGAAGCTCATTACAGTGTTTTCCCCCAACTGAAGGTTGTGTGATGGTCGGTTCATGCCCATTCCACGGTGACCAATGAGCTTGGTCGTTAATGATTTCCAATACGTATGTTTACTGTCGACGCTTAAATTAGGGTGAGTGTAGGGATTCACTACCAAAAACTCGAATATGATTTTCCCAATCACTTCCAAGGATCCGGCTCCGAGTATAGGGACAGTTACTGATCCCATAAAAGATGTCTTGTCAATGTCGAATGTCTTTATTGAAGACAGCAGAGCAGTCGCACGCCCAATCAACTGCTTCTTAGTGCCGTATGTAGGTACCAAATCAAAATTTAACGTTACATCGTCGATATTATCCGAGTAAAATATAACCGGCTCCGAATGGTCCTTAACTGGAAGATCTATGACTGTCGGCTCCCCGACAGCATTTTTTGCAGAGACTATGAGAGACGTGGACATAGACGGTATTATCGAGTTTGGGGGGACGGCCATATTATTGATCTGTACTGGCTTGATGTGCTTTCTTGTATCAAATGTTCCAATGGTGACAGATATCATTGATTGGCCTTGCAAAAATTTATGACCGTAGATACGTTCAGCAGCTACGCTTTCTTTATTTGTCTCCATACCCTCAGGCGCTTTTACAGCGTAAGGCTTAGAAGGCCGAAGAAGTTCCTGAACTTTTACGTGACCGCGGAAAGTGGCGTGCACATGTGCAGTCCATTCGGAAAAGTCCGTAGCGTCTTTATTGGCGCCTGCCTTTATTAGAATATCGACTATTTCGAGATGTCCTTCGATTGCTATATGTAGAGCAAGAAAACAAAAATTTATTAATACCGAATTTACATTACGTTAATCTAAGATTAATTCTTCCGCTTTTTGTTGATATAGCGTATTAAAAAATTCCTTGATGAAACCAGCGTAAAAGTTCCAACATGTCACATTATACATGGTATATTTACCGGCTAAGAGCAGAGCTGTCCGTCCACACAACTTTTCTTTGATCTCCATATTAGCCTTCTTTCTTACAATTTCGTTAACTCCCTTCTCGTTTTCGAATCCGACGAGCAGCGTGACACATTCAGTATATCCATTTCTTACTGCAAAATGTAATGGTGTTTCTCCATATTTGTCTTCAGAATCGGGATCAGCACCATAGTCAAGCAGCAGTTCAGTCATCGCAGTATATCCCAGTTTACAAGACATGGCCAGTGGAGTGTGGGCTTCATTTCTAGCAAAAGGATTAAGAGGCGTGTAGACTGCATGGTTGGGCGAGCGAGTTGTGATGGTGCTAATGTCCGTAATCCCTCCCATATCGATCATACATTTTACAGCTTGTGTTCTCCCATGGAGTATGCCGTAGAACAAGGGTGTATAACCATCATTATCAAACCAAGCATCATCCTGATGGAATGAAAATTGTTCAGTGTTTATCAAATGTTCTAATAATACTCGCACTATCTTTACGTATCCGTTAGCCATTGCATAATGCAATGGGCGTCTCCCAGAAGTGTCTTTTGTATTGGATTGTAATGCCAGATCGCCTTTCAGATGCTCAAGAATAACCGAGATTATCTCGGGATTACCCTGAACAGCATCCGATGCAAAGGACCCGCTATCACCATTTGCCATATTTTTGATGTTATTGTCCGTTGGTGAGCGAGATAGAGATAATAACTGGTCCGATGTAATCGTGTTCTTCATCGTGGGCGATACGCGGCCAGTATTGAGAATTCCACCATGTATTACAAGTTTATGGAGAATTGATCGTTCGTTGATGTCATTGTCGTCCGTGAGATTTACCCCGGATTCAATTAAGAGTCTTATACATTTCAACGCACGCTGTTGACATGCTTTGGAAAGCATAGAGAACAGTGTCTGTAGTATAGAAATAATTAATATGCTGTTGGAGCGAGCGGCTAAACGGTTTATAACTGCATATATACCTTATCCGTTGCCGCTTTCTGTTCGTCCACGCCAACAGACATATTTTCTATTATCTGCTTTAGAGCATCGACATCGTCTTGCTCGAGAACATCTAAAAATATGTTGTTCCGCTCTGCTGTTAATTTGACATTTTGACGAGGAGGATACTCAGAATTCTCTTGTTCTGCCACCTGCCGAAGCAGATCCTGAGATTTCTCAATCGATTCGAGTATTTCTGCCAAAACGGTGTCGTTCGCAAAGGAGCAAACAGCGACCTGTTGCAAATTTAATAGTGTTAACTAACGACAGCTTTTTTATGTCAAATCAATGAAAATTTTGTAGCATGCCATACTTTGGTCCTAAGGTATGTGTCCTGTGTTGACTGATGGAATTTCTTGTCGAACCTTTAAGTAGGTGTAGATGTAATTAATGTAAGTAAATCCATCTGTAATTGATGGATGTCCTGTATTTCCGTAACCGATAGAGAAGTATCCTTTTTTTTTTTTTTGCGTCAAAATCGTAAGAACTTTGTCTTGGAAGAGGTCTTTCTAAAAGAACTTCATCTATGGCCACTATAATAATATCAACAGATGTAATTTGGGCTTACTTTTTAAGAATTTTCGCAAAGCCTTTCTTATTAGTATCGGCAAAACTCAAAAGGTTATGGATCAGGTTCATAGTCTCTGTTAAAGCTACCAAGGCTTCGGAATTCGAATCGTGATCGTGCGATTGGACATAGCGATACTTTTCACGCTGCTTTTTTAGATCATTCAATTTGCGAGCAAAGAACGATTCGACCTTTTCGAGTTCGCGATCCAGAGCGAATAAAAAGGCTAAATATCGGTAGATGAATATACGTGCAGACAAAGGAATTAGGCAATGTACACTAACACATGCATGCCTATTCATACTGTGCTACGTCACAAACGAGAATACGAAATAGAAGAAAGTGAGCTAAAACCTGTTATGAAAACTAACCTGTCACGGGGTCATCGTCTATTGTTCTAGTTGTCAGCTTTGATTTTTCCACGCTCTTGATTGTTTTCTTAAGCGCTTTATAAGAGATATAATGGCTGTATGCAATGTCGTAATATAAGCGTTATCTTATTTGCACGTTATCTTATTATACAGGTGTCGAGGAAGACGCAAGGCAAGACTTCAGTCAACAGCTGGTACAAAAAAGGATTCCAGAGCAAAGAACGAAAAGGGGGAAAATTGGGAAAATCAAAGTAATAGCATAATCATAGCGTAAATACCTTTGCCATTCTGTTATCTGGCTCTTGAGAAGAGTCTTCCCGAACTTCATTATGGCTTGTGAACCAGCAAATTCAAATCAACTTATGTTGCCGAGGTTGAATCATTTTATAGACTTCATGAATACTATGACTCAATGTGTCACCAATTTTAACTCCAATTAGGATGCCCTATTTTAGTCTGGCAAGCTACTCGCTTGATATATTGAACGCGTACAATACGCCGTTGTTCGTGGTTTCCGAGTTTGGTTACTCGGCATCGTGCATTTTTACTCCTGAATTCTATCTGCAATGTAACTATCAGCAATAACAAGGAGCATTACGTGCATTAATAAAATGCTCTTGTAAGTATTCAAAATAATAACATCTATCTAATAATACGACGGCTCAAGCGAGCCTGACACCAAACATGGAACCGAGAACACTGCTATGCATTTCAATCGGCTGAACAGATCTATAGATGAAACGTAAACAATCTTAATCCCGAATGGGAAGGCCATTCATGCCAAGACTACTGATTTGGGTATTTTCATTTCATTAGAGCAAGATTATTTGCAGGTAACAATGTCAACGTGCACAATACGCCATTGTTTTCTGTTGGGTTACTTTCTAAAAGTGTGGATGATCAACCTTTATCTAAGCACTGCACAGGTGACCCAATTCATGAATTTGTCGGACAGCCCCCTTTGATATTTCAGCAAGTTTCTAGGTGTCTTAATTTAGCACGCAGACTCGATGTAGAGGCTTCTTTGCATGTTAGTGCGCCAATTAGTGTGTTTGCTATCCAACGAAAACCTACATCTACGGGTGTGCTTTATTGTCGCCCAACAATTTGACGAAAAAAGAGAAAACAAATGTTCGTGCTTCTCACGGTATCCTTTTTAGACTTTGGTACAATAATTAGTGTGGGATTCTCGACTTATACTGCAAGCACGTGGGCCGTCTACAACTTTGCGTGCACGAATTGTGACGTATTAGTGGAAGGTAGTTATATCATAGATATTAATAAAGGAGGGGGCATTCTACGATCGGCTTCCCACGCTCACTCATGATTGGTGATGTAATTTAATGCTCATAATGCTTATTATTATTTTCCGATTGGGTGATAAACCCATCGCATCTCCTTTCGATATCGAAGAGTATGGAGAAAGATCTTAGTGAGGTAGATCGAAACAAATAGATGGAAGCGCTCACGGCTAACGTACGGAGAATACCTTATTAATAATTTCTAATAACATTCGGTCAGCTGCTGGAATTCCTGCATGATCAAAACCAAGATGTAAGCTAGTTGATGGAGATTTTAGTTTGTGTGCAGCTGATATTGACGGACATTATAGGCAAGAAGGCTTGCATTGAAAGCTCTTCTTGGCTACACGGCCCCTGCGTCCGAATTTCAGTCCATCTTCAAATCCAATGCCATGAAACCGGTACAAGATCTCAAGTCATTGTGCAGAAACGAGACGGTATGAAAAGCAAAGGCTGGTTTAACAATATCTGATTTACACACTAAACCTTGTTCTTGTCAAATAGTTAATTGCACATGATGCCTTCAAAGCTTTAATAAATCTGTCAGGTGATAAGGATGTATGCAGAGAACTAAGTGAAGACAATTACATCGGATTTGTAATAGGAACAATAACGGTAATTGTGTGATTTCAGGAGATTGACTGATACGTACCAATTTCAAACAATAACAAAAAAAGTTATATTCATAGAATGCCGCGGCAGTTCTTGCTGACTTGGCGTGCATGCTACTATCAAATACAACAAAGCATGAACTCGCAGCCAAGAAGATTCTTGACGCAGAAATACAACCAACCGATGAGCTGTCGTCATCTACGAGAGCAATAGACCAGCTACTTGACGCTTTTGTCAAGGGCGCCAATAGTTCTTATAATAAGAACGCAAATTTTCATTTTTTGGCTAGCGTATTTGCTGATGTTACAATTGTCAGTAATCATATTGGCTTAATCTTATCTATTTCTGCTGCATTTCGTTTGTTTACTCCTTATCTGTCTGACAGCTACCGCAGGGACGCGACTACTTTACTACCCCTGCAGGATACGACGGAGTTATCCCATTAGCAAAGCTCGTTGTTTTTACCGAGCATCAAAACATCATACGGAGAGGCGGGGTAATTTCGGCAATCAAGTAAAATCACGGGAGGATGACTATTCGCTGCTTGTTCACAGTGCTAGCCAAATGTTGAGTAATGATTCTGTGGATAATATTTTCTTGGCAGAAATTGCTGCTTCGCCATAGATAAACATAACGGCCTGCTGGATGAATCAAATATCAATTTACTTCCATATATATTATTGCCTCTTTGCGGACCAGAAGAATTTAGCGATGAGGTATGAAACTACACGAAATCATATATAATTATAAAAAGATCGTGAATTTAAGGAAATATAATTAGGATATGGAAGGAATGCCAGAAGAAATTCAACTTCTTGCAGCGGACAAGGTATGTCGTTAGAAATGCGGAAATGTTTAATCGTCAATTGTATCTGATGCAGTATTCTTTATTATTAATAGACCCGTGAACCTGATGCACGATTACGGCAAACGTTAGTGGAGACGCTACTCTTACTTACGACTACACGGCCTGGACGAGTTGTATTAAGAAAGAAAAAAGTCTACCCAGTCGTTAGACAAATGCACTTGGTTGAGGGTGATGATGCTACAAAAGAGGCAATTGAGAGATTGGTCAACATGTTGATGCGTGATGAGCAGTCCGAGCAAGGACCGCAGGAACAACGAGAAGGAGAAGAAGAGGAAGAAGAAGGTAATAAGATCATGTAACAAATTCTAATCTGCAAAGACGCAAATTTTCCAAATAAAAGAACCGACTGACATGACGAGATGTGCTATCGAGAATGTAAATGTTGAACTTTAATTGTAAGAACTGCAGAACTGTTGAGCTGTTAATCTGAAAGGGAAAAGGCTTTTCTCTTATATCTTGACGAATAGTATACGTTGAATAATATCAATATGAAAGGATATTAATTTCATCTCAACGCTGTTACAACCAAACCGAAAGCGGAATACTGAGTTTATTGATACATGGGGGTTTCCTTCGCCACCGAGAATTTGAGGAATTTTTCAATTATCCTACAATATCAACATACGTAAAATAAATTTGGTACGTTTCAAGATGCCACGTACTCAATAAGTGCACGAATAATCTTGACACTTTTATTCATCGTTATGTTGGTCAATCTCCATATAATAGTTACTGATTATCATTCGTTGTGAATAAAAGTTCCTCGCGATAGCCAGTCTTATCATTTACATTACTCATAAATTACGTATCAGGGCATTAACATTATATATTCTGCGAATGTTAATATTTCTTTTAGTGTATATATAGCCAAACTAAGTATTGGCGATTTATCGCATGGCTGCTAAAATGTAAATCTAATTCATGTTAATGGTATAAATTATTCTTATCGTTATTCAAGAAGCTTCGCTGAACCAACAACTCTTGTAGAAAGGTTTATCTCGTCATTATCACCAACTTCTTTATCCAAAGATCTCAATGACCGAGATAGGGGAGGGGAAACCCCCATTAAACCCAGATTCGTCATGGCTACATTTCTTTTCGTCAGTTGTAATTACACGTAGTCATCATTTTCACATATGACCTTGACCGATTTAGTTTTAACATTTATTATGAATATTTGAATACATGCGAGCCTTTCCGATAAACAACGTTGTATTACGGCCTCCATACCATCTATTCTATAGCCACAATATTTTGAGAACAATTGTTCCTTTGTCGTTATAATACCACCATACAATGACAATGACAATTACGCCGTTTGACCGCAGAGAACGTACGCTAATTGATTTTACCAATTGTTCCTTTGTTGTTATACCATCTACCATACGACAACAAATAAAATAACGCCTGCAGACAGGATTCGCCTTGAAAACAATTGAAAGTAACGCAATTTAACACAGATAGCGTTCACCAGTTGATTTTGCCAAGATTTGTCGGTTTAAATTTTAAACAAACAAACAACTGTTTTATGTCTACCTCCACTAAGATTGCCTACTTTCGACACTTGTGCGCTTCAGTTATGCCCGAACCCTTTATGTGATCAGAGCTAATACTAACACACACTTTTAAAACGAGTTTCGAATGTTGTGTGTTCTGTCTTTGTAAAGCAAGTCCTCGGGCTTTAAAATCTATAAAAGACGAAAAGAATTAGCAAAAGACAAATAACGCAAGTCTTGCCATCTTTTGTATATACACTCTCTCCTTCGTCCACACTCGTCAACACATCGTTAATTTTTTAGTCATACATAATCATAAAAAATGCTCGTTCACATAGATTTCACCATTCGCGTGTTCACCGTCGATAGAGAAAACAAATTCGATGTAATTTACTTAAAGCCGGTGGGATATTCTTAATTTGCTGACCAACCCATTCGCGAGAAGTATGCATGCCCCGCCCCTTGGGAATGAGCCAGTAGGGAAGAATTTTATTAGTTTAATATATTTTGTTAACGACCTTATCAAGTCACATGAACCGAACTCTATAACATGTGATCATGTTTATTCGAGTGTAGATGTCAGGCAAGTTCCACGTATTACCGCCCGCGATGCTTTCGAGGAGGGTTACGATGCTTTCTAACCCGATGGGGAAGAGAACCGTGGCGGGTTCACTCATTGCAAGTGATTCTTTCACGTATACATGTTGAACCGAGGTGTACTACGCCCCGCGATGCTTTCTAACCTGATGGGGAAGAGAACCGTGGCGGTTTCACTCATTGCAGTGATTCTTTCACGTGTACACCTCGTGCCCGATGTGGAAAGCGAACAACAATCCATTGCCATAAATATTTTCGGAACAATTTTGATACTAATCACACTTATTCTTTCTTTCTTTTACATAACAAGGAACGGATCATCAAAGATTGATAACATCATGTGGGATAGAAGTGAGGAGATTGCAAATTCTCAAGTTCGTTTGAATTTCTGGCAAAAGTGACAATCAGATTTTACCATTACAGCCTGCAGAGAAGTGTGCTAATCATTTGTTTCTCTCATTCGATTTAGATCAATATAAAGATAAATCTTGTTGACGATATTACAAATTCTACCAGATTAGTGACCGACAAAACTACAATCCCATTGACGGAATTTGCTATCAGTCTTTAGAAGTATTTGACAGTGTCTGCTCTGAGCTTGCAGTGATATTGTGCTTACTATTGTTTATCTTTGACAACGGTTAGGAACGAGTCGGAAAAATTGCAAAGAACTATAAATACTGAAGCAACGAATTCACACCACCCGTACAGATGAGCTTCATGCGTGCACTTCCGAATTCTCCACAGATAAAGCCGTTGCTTCAGTAATAATTGGTTTATATTTGGAACCCGATCTGCCTCGACAGCAGATTTAACAAAACGAACTACAAATGAACGTTATTCAAGAAGCTTCACTGAACCAACAGCTCTTGTAGAAATGTTTATCTTCGTCATTATCACCAACTTCTTTATCCAAAGATCATTCACAAATTCCAATATTACAACACAACCTCAAATGACTGAGATATGCATTAAACCCAGTTGTACAAACATTCCCCCAGATGTCAATAAATCGAATTATTTGTAAGTAAAGTACGCGCTGGGCTAGCGAATTGGTTACTGAATGACGCCATAAATTCTGAAGAATGGCGAAAAAACAGAATATTAGGCTCTCCACAATAAAGTCTATTTACCTATATCCTGTGATGAGGAAAATAATCTATTTTGTTTTATAAAATTCAACCGACGACTTATTATATTCATTCAGAATATAAGTCCTTTGTGGGATTAGCATGTAGCTCTACGAAGAGTTAACGTATTATAGAATAGTTGGCGCGTTTTAATTGATTGCTATTTTGTAAACAAAACGTTGATGAAGTATTAGTACCGATCTAACCCGATTTGTTCGCAATAAGATGCATCTTCCGTCCGTGTAACACTACTCGCTCCCTCTTGTCTACTAGTTTTTTGCAACATGTCCCGCAAATATCCCGAAATCCTTATTAGATGAAATACAATGGCTGCTCGAAAAACAAATTCCGAGACGATGGAAGCGTTGCGTCGAGAGGCATTCAATTTAGCCGGGAGAGCAGTTGAACAAGATACCGAGGGGAATCTTGAAGAAGCAAAAAGACATTATCAGGAAGTTGTGAGAGTAAGCAAGATTTTAATGAGCATTAGTCATTGATTGATCTTGCAGGCATCGCGCAAAATTACGCTAAATTTCTGATTTCCAACGACATACTTTTCAGCTACTTGGGCTAATTATAGAGAGGAGTATGTGATTTACATGTTAGCGATTGTTACCAATTCACCACAGTCCGTTGATTTATGTCGATTGTATTCTCATATTATGCCAAATAAGTGGGATCGCAGCCTTCGGAGAGAAATATAATAATGAACAAATGTGAACAGTATAATAGGCGAATAAAACAAATAGACTGTTCAATTCTCTCTTCACAAGCTCAGGTTTAATACTTTTCCCCTTCTCCTGTCTACGCCGTATAATTGAACGCTATCTTGTTCACTACATTACATGATTTTTTTGGGAACAGGCGCTTTTAGAGAAGGGCGAAAGCGAGGAAAGACAGTTTAAATTTGTGCAGGCACTTGATTCGTATTTGGACGCTGTCGAACCGTTACTTCAAGCAAAAAAATGTTGGCAATTTTCTTCAGATAGAATTCTGTATGAATGTTTCTCTTTTCTAACTAGAGATTGATTTATATATACAGATGCTGATGACAGCCCGGAACTAAGAACTCAGATCAAGAAAACTCTTGACAAGGCGGAACCCCTGAAAAGATTGGATAATCGATCTTCAAAGAGGCCAAGTATGAGTATATATCCAATTTCTCTCTTTTTATCGATTGTGAATATAATCTAATCAATGCTCACATTATCATCAGGAAATGGCTTAACGCACACGCCAAATTCTGGGTTATCTCCGCTCACTGTTGCAGAGCGCAGAATCTTGCTTGACACTTCTCGTATTAATGAAAAGATCTTTCCCCCATGGTATGACGATGATGACTTGAACGAGCCGTTTTTATTTGATAAGCTCTTTATGTATGTATTAGCGAGTATCAGTAAGACTATTCATATCCGCTCGCGCATATATTAAATGTTTTCTTTCATATAAGAGATTTGGACGGTCTTCTGGAACTATCATTGCAACAAAAAGCGCACTTTGGTTCATGGAAACGACCTTATCAGTTTATGAACAATCCAGTGATGATTGCAGAGATTTCTAGTTCCAATATAGTACAGGTACAAGTTGGTTTCAACTATGCATATGCGGCGAACAATTTTTGCTTTATTTAATAAGAAAATATTTCCGAGAGCAAGACTTGACAAATTTTTAAATTTAACAAAAGGATATTGTGACTGATTGCTCTTTTGTTGCATCATTATGTGTGAGTGCTGCGTATGAGCGAAGACATAACAAACAGGTAGATATATCGTCTGATTAATGGATCTATTGGTCGAGACTTAACAAAGAACCTTGCATTATTCTACTCGATAATTAGTTAATCACAAAGTGTATTTATCCACAAGATGAACACGGAAAGCCAATGTACAATCCGTGTGGGAAATACATGATTAAGCTTTTATGCAATGGTAGAACAAGAAAAGTAAGTGACAACTTTTTCTTATATTACGTGGACATTTACAGTACGATTTTTATTAACTACACAACCCTGCGCTTTAGGTTGGTAACTATTCTTCGGTACTAATTTGATTGACAGTACAACGGACTGTTAATTACCTCTTCTAACTTTTTCTGCCTACCAAGTCATTGATGATTGGTTGCCTGTTTCGCGCGATGGTACACTTATGTGCACTTTCTCGACGAATAAAGACGAGCTATGGCCCAGCATCGTAGAAAAAGCTGTATGTTGATTGCTGAATTGAATTACTTCAATATCAAATCTCATTACTAACATTGAATATTAAATGCCTTATAGTATTTGAAATTAATGGGTGGTTATGATTTTCCTGGGTCGTAAGTATATAGTGTGATTATTTTCGATTGAACAAGACGTTGTACTCAATATAACCGCTATCTTTTACCATATTCACTAGCAATTCGGGGATAGATTTATAGTAAGTTGCTTTACACCACGTACGGCATTCTTTATAAATAATGTTGGCCTGCTTTAATTCGTATTGCTGTTTTCAGTGCTCTTACAGAATGGCTTCCCGAGCATATTTTTATTAATGAGTAAGTCAAAAGCAATATTCACCAGATGGGAGAGAATCGCGATTTTTCTTCCTCCACGTTTACTGCATGCTGATGTACTTGCTTTGCATTAGGGTTTTTGACAAAGAGTCAACCTGGAAACGGTTATTTCGCGGTCAGAAGGATGGTAATTAGAGAGTTTTACTTAAACGCGCTTGAATAACTTTACTGTATTTATTATGACTAACGTAGCCTAATTTCATCAGGTAATATCCTAGTTATTATTTCTACCGGAGAAATGGATGAAGAAAGAGCTAATACAGTTGGACTAGTTCCAACACATGCATATGCCGTATTGGGTATGTTTATTGAGATTGATGATGTGCGCATATGTAAGCACGTGTTCACTAATTTTTTTGTAAAGATATACGGGAGATTAAAGGCCTACGACTGTTACAAGTGAGTAAAATTTTAGAGTACAGATTATTATGCAACTCCATTGACCATCTCCCCTCTTCTTAGTTCAAGAACCCTTGGAGTCATAAAAGATGGACAGGTGATTTTAGTCACAAAGATAACAATCATTGGACACCAGAGTTAATGCGAGCATTGAACTACGACAGAAAAAGGGCCGCAGGAAGTGATGATGGTATATTGAAAGAACATAGCAAGCATCTTATTGACGTTATCTTACGCGTTTTCAACAGGCTAATTCGCTTTGTTCATGGTTAATAGGTGTTTTCTGGATAGATTACGATTCAGTTTGCAAGTATTTTGACTCTATACATGTGAACGAGAATCCAGGATTATTCGAATATAAAGACGTGCTACACGCGTAAGTCCTGACTATTTATAACGTTCCCATATATTTGATGCGTTATGTTTGAACGACCATCTATAGTAATTCTTTTCGTTGCATCTAGGTCTTGGTCAAACACAAACATTATGAACACTGATACTTTTAATATAGGAAATAACCCACAATATTCTCTAGAAATAGTTAACAAAAATAAGGAAGCGTCAGCTGTAAGATTACTTTTAACAAAGCACATAATGACCGTGGGTGAGAATAAAGACCACATTGCTTTGCATGTATATAATGACACCGATGGAAAGAAAATATTCTATCCAAAGGATCCAATGATTCAAGGCCTATACGTAAACAGTCCACACATACTGGTAAGTGACTTTGACTTTGGTTCGGCATTTACGTCTGGTATGCTAACATTGGGTTTATAGGTGAGATTTGACGCTCAGCCAGGTATTTCAAAGTATACAGTTGTGGTGGCACAACATGAATCGTCAGGATTATTTTATTATACCTTACGATGCTTCTGTCAGTCACCATTTACGTTGCATGATGTAGTGGACAGCTACCCGATTGAGAAAGAGGTAGTGTGCCCGATGACGTGTGACGTATCTACTTTAGTTGTTGAGAGAACTGCTCATTTTTAACATTCTATATTTGTAGATTAATGGATGTTGGACACAACAAACAGCTGGTGGTCACTCATCATTGATAACGTTTCTTAATAATCCACAATATAAACTTTCTATACGACCATCTCCTGAACATATAAGAGTGAGATTATCACTAGAAGGGCCCTTGTCGTATGCAATGAATGTAAAATTAGTTTGGAGCCAGGGAAAAAGAGTTGCTAGGTGCGGTTGTTGTATTTTGATGTATCTGATGGATATATGGTACCCATCGACTTATTCAGCTTTTGCTTTATTTGGACTATAGCGTAGCAAACAAGGATATAGTCGTACAGTCCGGCGGTGAATACCGTCCTGCATTCTGCTATTGCGAAAAGGATGATGTACAAGGTAAACATCTTTTATTTGCAAAACGTTAAAGATAATACGACTGGAAAATGCTCACTTTTCCCTAATGCAGCTGGGGACTATACAATTATTGTATCAACCTACGATGCTGGATTATGTGGGGACTTTAAGTTGACAGTTGCGTGCAATTCGGAGTTTCAAATCTGCGAAATTCCTTCTGAAGGAGCTGTATGTACCTGGATAAATGGTCTGGTTGAATTTATGCCTACCGAATATACTAATTCTCGAATTTTGGCTTATTTAAAGGGGATGTTTAAGAAAGTAATTAACGGTCAATGGTAAGTATATAGAGTTATGATCATTTCAGATGGAAGATTCTATGTAATGCTTGTTTATTATACGCTTTAGGATTAGTGGTGTAAGTGCTATGGGACATCAAGGGTATCGTGATTATTACAGAAACCCATGCTACCTGTTGCGTATCAAACAGTTGACTACTGTAAAGTAAGTCAATGGTCCTACTCTTTTAACACTCGTGCTTTTAGTGAGCATATCACTGACAATCGTCCCCGTAGAATTCGACTTCAAGCGCGCAACATTACCCCAATTCCCGCGATGAATATAAAGTTATTTGAAGCGCGATTACCTCAGCATGAAGATGTCGTGAGAATAGGCAAAGACGTCTGTAGTACTGGTGCATACGTTGAATTCGTTCAGGTAGTTCTCGCTCATTGTTCTTGAATCCATGCAAAAAAGCAACTACAGACAAATTAACCCTTGGCGTTTGCTTCATTCCGTAATAGGGTGTTTGTACAGACGATGTAGTGCTACCCCCAAGAGAAGAAGGTACGAGTGATTCTTGATTTAGTCTGGCAACTTTCCGTTTCGATTATACTAATAAAAATATATACGTAATAGGATATGTAATTGTATTTTCAACATGGGAGCGCGGAGTGGCCGGAAATTTTGTAGCATATGTTTATAGTGATGGGATCATCAGCATAGAAGAGATATCACGATAGAGTTAAAAGGAGTATTTTAATAGAACACAAATTAATATATCGAACGATGCCATCGTAGACCGTTCTGGACACACATCGAGTTATCCTGATCTGTGGCTCAGTTCACTAATAAGTATAGAATCCTCTCCCTGTTTTCTTTCCTAACCATCCAGCATCAACATATTTCTGCAATAACACAGCTGGTCTATATTTGGGATCTCCTAATTCACTATGTAACACTTTCATTATGGCCAAGCATGTATCTAATCCAATAAAATCAGCTAATGTCAAAGGTCCCATTGGAACATTTGTACCCAACTTCATAGTTGTGTCGATGTCGTCTCTCGTTGCAATGCCCTAATTTAAGAGAGGAGGCTTAGAAATCGGCGAAATCTAAATGTCTTTATAACAAGTTTTCATTATTCTACCTGCTCAAGGGCTACTACGGCCTCATTTATGTAAGGCATCAAAATCCTATTAGCAATGAACCCTGGAACATCTTGTGATGTCGTGCACGTCTTTCCCATCACAGTCGCGAGTGCTCTCGTGGTCTGCAGGGTGTCGTCGGAAGTAGCAAGACCAGGAATTATTTCTACTAATTTCATGACTGGCACCGGATTCATAAAATGCATTCCAATGACCTATTGTAAAAATCTTATAGTCAAATAAACACAAATATGTACGATTGACAAAACACGTTTTGCCTCCTTACTTTTTCAGGCCTTTTGGTAGAGGCTCCAATCTTAGTGATGCCGATACTACTAGTATTAGTGGCTAATATGGCATGTTCTTTCACGATAGCATCCAACTCTGCAAATATTTTTCTTTTTAACTCGACATTCTCCGATACTGCTTCAATCACGAAATCAACATCAATAAGATCATATGGAGATTCGACGGGCGAAATACGGGACTTTGTTGCTTCCGCATGAGATTCGGTAATACGTCCTTTCGACACATCCTTTGAAAGAAGGGAATCTAGATAATCGCATTTTGTAAATAGTAACGCTCACAGAGTTGATCTAATCCAAGAGTCTTTCTTACCAACAAGAGCTAAGCCTTTCTCGAGGTTTGTTCGGCTAGTGTCGTAAAGTCTGACTTTAAGTTGTGCAATGTTTGCAGCAACTAGGCCAATGCCCATACCCTAATCATGAATCAACACATCATCAAACGCCTAAATTTCAAACATACAACATTAGACAAGTCGTCAAAAACCCGATACCATCTGTCCTGCTCCAACAATGCCGATATCTTTTATTTCACATGTCTTGGTTGCATGTCTACGCTGATGACTTGTATGAAAAAATGACTATGCGATGAATCCAGAATAAGTATCGCATTATTACTATCTGAAAACACATATTTATAATCGATAACCTTGTTAAGCGTAAGAAACTGTTTTCTGAGAGGCAACAAAGTGATTCTCGATGCAATCATATCAGAAAGTCCACCAGCGCAAAATAGTTTGCCAACTCTAATTTTGCGATCGGCAAGTATAAATCACGATTTGGCATTTTTACTGAATAATCAGAAGCTAGTTGAAGGAAGTTTTGAATAGTCTTCTTTATAAAACTAATTGAGAGAGAGTATATGGGGCATACTGCAACAAAACCAGACAAAGTGAACATGTGACGTCACTTTCAACATTCGCTTCACCTAAAAGTACAAAAAAATAAATTGAAGGAAAACGAAAAGTGAGCTAAGACAAAAAACAGATAAATAGAGGATTGTTCATTGCAAGCAAATAAAGCACAGTTTTCGAATCGTCTAGCATAATAGTAATGGCAAGGCGAGAATCAGCTTTTCCTTTTTTATTTACTTTTTAGTGAAAGGCACCTTTGCACAATGGCAGGAAAGCAACGCTGTTTTTGAGAATGGAAAGGTCTTTCTCGCAGTCAATTAGAGAAAGTTTTTTGCCCTGCCAAACTAAAACCAAAATAATTAACGATGAGATCGTCAGAAATCATGGCAACACCTCATTGTGTTATTTTTAAGACAGGGATGTTGTACAAGTTTTTTTTTTTTTTCACAAGCTCAGCCAATAGGCACGTATTTATCTGAAACGCCATCAACCCACAAAACGAAAACTTTCCCGTTTTCAGAAAAAACAAATTTTACTCAATCACATGTAAGTACCATAGAAGGGATGCCTTTCAGCAGTACTAACCTCTTGTTCCCTCCACTCACCACAAATATCTTCAGTAAAACATTCTCCACAGACTCACAGGAACCTTTATTAGTGAAAATGAGCAGACATGACAACAGTGGCAGTATTGGTATGGAAGACAAAAATATTAACAGTTTATTGTCAAGTTATTGTTGCTGATAATTAGTACATTTACATTAGGATCATTGACTGCTGCAATTCAACCAAAAATTCCCACTCTTGAGGTTTTTCTGGATCAATGTAAGATATTAGAAAGCCATGAAAGCCTGGTCAAAGCTGGATGCACTGTAACTGAGGAAATGTTCCAGCTATTTGTCAAGTCTGAGGAAAAAGTACTTGATGACTATATTCCCAAGCTGTCATTGAATATTTTCCAACAAGCAGCTTTCAAGGATGGTATCCTAAAGCTCAGGGCAACTCCAAGTATGTACACTATATCAAAAATATTTACTTACAGGCTGCTTTCTATTTATCAAAAAATCAGAATTAGTACTCCACTCCCTTTTTGTTAGTATAGCTTTAAATAATGCCTTTCTATTAGTGTTGTGCACTGCCTTTTTTCATTTTGGTCTGTTCACTTTTTATCATTTATTCTTTTTAAAATATCAGTTTTGCAAACTACAAAAAGGGGTTGAGAAAAAGAAGACAAGCATAATGCTACGAAGTATCTTTGCATCACAAGCATACCTGGGACCCATATGTTCAAAACAATAGTAGAAGATAATTCAATACAGGAGGTATGTTCATAGAACTGACTTCACCTATATATCTAATTGGAAGCTAATCCTAATATTGGAATGTTTGGAAGCCTCCTCCAAATGTTCCCCATAGTACCTCCAACTTCTGAGCATTCCAAAATACACCTGACAGATTTTTCTGCAACAAAACAAATTACATTAGATTACTTGAGCAACCAGATTACAAAATTCTGTTTCTTCGTCCATGACAATTCAGGAAATCAACTTTGATCAGCACACTTGCTGCCTACTATGACATTCATGCTAAGAACAGTTTCCAGTCACTATTTGGACCTTGACATTGGGAAAAATCCTACAAGCTGGGCTAACAAACATCTCATTCTAATTCTTGACTTATCAACTGTTGAAATGGGAAACTTAACTAAGATGGAGGATAGTTTCAACAAAGAAATCAAT